GAAAAGTGAATTCAGGACAGGGGGGGGGGGTCTAGTGGGGATCTGATTCCATCACGGCCAGATTGAAAGTTTTAGAAACTGTTGGTAGGTCTGCGGGGAAGTGGAAGATATGTTCTTTGCCTTTCTTGTGTGCCAGCAAATGAAAGACATACCCACCCTGATACTGTATACTGTATTGTCATCCTTAGGCGTTGGGGGTCTTGTGCATGTGGTCAATTTCTCTAGTTGCTGTACCCAATATCTCCAAAAGTGTGTTAAGTAACTCGCTTTGAATGATTTAGGGGCGGGTTAGAACCTCTGTCATTTGTTTTTTGGTGTCTGTGTCCCAATATGGGGGATTTACTACTGTTGTTTGACCTGATGCCTATTCTTGCCACAACAGACAGTGAGGGGAAAGCCAAAATGTAGTTGTCCCCTGAACAAAAAGTAAGGGAAGTCTTCCAATTGGAACACTTGTTCCAGTGACAACTGTCTAACATGGTAAGTCCCCTTACTTTGAAGATTTTCTCTAACTTCCTGTATTGTCTCTGGGAAGTGGAATTTCCCCAAATTGTTACCCCAAACATTTTGGCTATACATACACTTTAACTACACACACATGTTTGCTTAAAGTGGATCTAAACCTCAAATGAATAGTTTTTCAGTTTACAGCATATAGCTAAGAAGGCAGATAACACTGTTCAGTTAGAAAAAGTGGCATGCACACCGAATTTCAGGCAGGATTAAAGGAGAACTATGAGGTGAGTGCTTTTCACTCAGCTCATAGTTCTAGCCGACCTGTGACAATGAGACTGTCACAGGTCGGCTCAGTAGATCGGGAAGTGAGCGAACCTCTAGATAGGCAGAGTCAGCTGTCACTCACGCAGCTGGGCGGATCCAGACATAATTGTCGGGATCCGCTTCAGCTGCGGCGTCTCAGTATACCGTGAGCTGTCCTAAATAACAGGAAGGATTCCATCTTGTGTTCCATTTGCATTTCTTTTGAGCCATAGGCAAGGCTGACTGGAGCACAGAGTCTTCCTTACCCCCCATTCCCAATATACCATCATGGATATTGGGGTGGTTGCATACAGTTCTCATGTCCACTGTTTAGTAGACAGGGGACATGTAGTGGTTTTGCCTGTAGTAGTTATTTTACCACCTCTCAATTTTTTAACTGTTTGGGGCCCTCCCATAATTCATAATGTATTAACGAATGTGTCCCTCAATGGACGATAAAGAATACGTTTTATACTTGTTATTTTTGTACTGTTTGTTACAACTGAGCAGAAAGGGAAGAGAAGGGGGTTATAGACTCCAAAGGCTGGTATTCAGGTTTTTATACCTAGTGCTCATTCTCCTGCAGGTAGCAAGAGTTAAAATTTTCAGCCAGGTTTGTTCTGTGACTTCATATTCTCCCTCTCTACTGTCCCTGTGACATCAGATGTTTTAACCCTTCCATTGCTAAAAATGTTGGTCTGTATCCCTGTTGGAGAGAATTCCTGTTACTTTCTGCCCTGTGCAAGAAAATCTCCCCGATAGGGACACAGACCACAATAATGTATGAGAGTGACTCTATCCCTTACCCTCTCTATCGAAAACAGCATTTTTGTCTAGTTAGGCTTTAACAAATTGTTTTACACCTAATTGTTTTAAACACATTATTTCTTTTGTGTATAGGTAATGGACATGGGCTGGCCTGAACTACATGCTCCCCCTCTGGATAAAATTTGTTCCATCTGTAAGGCAATGGAATCTTGGATGAACAGTGACCCATTGCATGTGGTTGTAATTCACTGCAGAGTAAGTGCATGTCAGATGTTTGTAAATTGAAAATGTTTTTCAGTTGAAAAAGATTTTCATGCAATATTTTGTCTGGATGAGAAGTTTGTATATTATGTATCTATGTTGTTTTCATTCATTCCTAAAGGAGCCAAACCGTAGTGTTACTGTTAAAGCAGAAGCACCACTCTGATGCTGGTTTTTCACTGGGGAAAATAATAGCATTTTCAAGAAAAAGGATAAGGTTTATTTTACTGAGTGTTTTGTCAAGGCTAAAAAAAACATATGGAGTATGTCTCTGCAATACATGCACATTTCCCTGTGCTTTATCCTTTTAACAACCCTGCAATACAGAAAAATTCCTGAAATGAATTCCCGTTTCCCGTTGTGGGCTGAAAACCATGTCAGTTTTGGACTAAAATCACAAAAAAATTGTATCAACCCTGCCCAGTTGTCTATTGCTAAACTACTGAATTCCTCCTCTTCTTGATCTCCACAAGTCTACAAGATAATTCAGAAGGCTGTTTATTCTAGAATATTCTTGAGATAACGCATGCAGAATGCACAAGACAGTATGGAATTTCTGACAAGCCATACAGGCTTAGATTTCCCTCATTCAGCCCTGAACAAGAGAAATTGGCAGGTTCTCCCATTCTCGCTGGGTAGCGTGTTTAGTGAATCACCCCTATTGGCTATTGTGTCAGACAGTCGGCACCCACAGCTGTCTAAATACTCAAACATTGACTGCATCTGATTGCAGCCTTCAGTTTTCCAGCTGGCTTCCTTCAATTTTCAACCAAAGTTTGTCGCGTCTGGTGGTGCTGACAGTGCCACCTACAGCTTGAAAATCAAGCTGAAATGGCTACCTTTTAGACAATTGTTTGAACCTATCCAACATATATAACACTGTTCTTTTAATTGTATGTTTAACAGACGAAAAGGGAGCAAATAAGATACTAAAACGTACCCTTACATACCCTTTAACTCCTTTATGGAGTGTCAGCTGTCAGTGTTTGTTGGTACTTCATAGATGTCTCCCAATCTGTTAGAGAAGAGCCAGATATGGTAATTTGCATCTCATGTCTGGAGTAGCCTTTCTCAACCAGGGTGACTCCGATATGAAAGGGGGGCTCTGATGTAAAGGAGGGAATCTGATGTGAAAGGGGTCTCCTAGCGTGAAAGGGGGGCTCTGATTTTGAATGGGGGCTTCTGATGTGAATGGGGTTCCTGTTTTGAAGAGGTAATCTCTGCTGTGTATGGGGAACTCCATTTTTTGTGTTGTGTGGGGTCCCCCCTTAAACTCCACAACAGACCCTATCTGGGATAAGGGTCTGGTATGGATTTTGGAGGGGCCACTGATCATTTTTTAACTGGGGTGCTTCGAGATTTTGCTTACTTATAAAGGGTGCTGTGACTGACAAATGGGGGGAATCTGATAATAAGCATGTAATCTATTGTGAAGAGGGGCTCCTAGTGTGAGAGGGGGGACTCTGATGTGAAAGGAGGGGGCTGCTGATTTGGAGGGACAACCATATTTTTGGTTTTTGTGTGGGGCTTCCCTTAAAATCCACAACAGACCCTATCTGGGATTTTTTTAGTTTTTTTATAAATCTTATACATTTTTTTTTTTTTTAAATAGAACACGTGATGTAGGTCTCAAACAGAGTAATGCAACAGAATTGAAATTGTAACCACATACAGTCACCATATAATGCAGAGACCTTACAAGACCTTGAAAGCTCTCAAATGTCATACGTACCTCAGGTACATATAGACATGTATGTTTTGGATAGACTAAGTACACCTCTGTCCGCATTTTATTTTAAGTAATGTGAGGATTCGCTCCAAACGGTAGCACATTAAGGACACCGCCACTCGCTTTTCCCTGTTTTAGGGCTTCTTTGCCCACTTTTATTTACTCATAAAATGGAAAGAAACGTCCATGCAAGTGCTCCCTCGCAGGGGTTTCCAAACACACAGTAGGTTTCTTAAGCAAAAAAAAACATTTTGCCACACAGGCTTGTCCTTTTGCCACACTAAAAAAAGGGGGGGGGGGGGGAGTGGGAGAGAAGAAAAGGAGGAAGCAGGAGAGGTAATTAGGGTGTGTTGGGACCAGGAGAATGTGTTATACCCACCAGATAACCCTCCAGCGGTAGCACCCCCATCTACCTATTCTTTAGTGCACTGCATCTCCCACATTCAATGCCAGGGACCTGTAATCTTGGGAGCAAGTGAAATTCATCTAGTAGAACCACATGCATTAGAATTGCTTATATAGAGATATACTGCATATAGAGATGCTGTGAGATCTTCCATGGTCCTTTTTTCGGCCACCTTAAAGAACCACAATTGTGTCTTGGAGCAGCCCCTCTTTTCTAAAAAAAGACGCAATACAGGCTATAGCTGCTTTCACTAGATGGATTAGCAATCAGCATTTGTATTGGTGTCTGGAATTCAAAGTGGAGATACGTGGCTGGGTTTGTCACCCGAATGAACATATGTCCGTTTGTGAATATGGTCTCAGATTTGTTTCCAAAAAGGTCTCTGTTGTGGGCAGTGCTAAAAAATGTGGAGGATCATGCCTCCCCATGTTCCCCACATCGCCATCACATCTAGACTACCTGTGTATACATTTTATGCAGCACAGAGGGAACTCTGTACCACCGAGTTAGAATTTTATAGCTGGATTCCTGGAATCTGCACGAGATAGAGGTTGCATGAGCAAAGTAAAGAATATCATCTCTGTTCCAGAGGGAACTCCATTTGTAGGTCCCTTTCCCACCTAATCAAGAAAGGGGGTAAAAATTGGTCCAGGGGGTTCACATATAATTTTTTTACATTTTAGACTAGGGTGCCTCCAGATTTTGCTTACTTTTAAAGGGTGCAGTGACTGAAAAAAGGTTGAGAAACGTTGTCAGGGGTAACTTGGCTTCCAAAATGTGCCAAGTTTGCTACCTCTTTGCAGACTTTACTACCCAGAATGGAAAATGTTGTTAGCATTTTACCATGTCTAGTTCTGCTTATAACCTCTTCTTCCCTTGCCTGCTTATTGAACAATGAAGGAAAAGCAGCACAGTAACAAGGTGATATCTTTGCTTTCCCCTCTAGTAAACATGATCACTGTTAAACTGATCCCACATATTGCAATCAGAATGTATGATCTTCTTTAGATTTGCCAACAACTATGTATGGCAAGCTTATTGGATATAAATTAAATGTATTGTTTATTTTCGCAATTCCACTACACAGTTTTTGAGAAACACAAATGAAATAGTACAATTACAGTTTCTAGCTTCAGGAGGACCAGCACTGTGTAAATTGATGGAGTCCTGATTTGGCTGAAAAGGCTTCCCCTCCCTTTCTTAAAGTGATATTGGGCATAGATTTAATGATTCTAGCCACCTCCGCGCCTGTGAAGGGGGATTGGAGTTTTTCTAGTTGAGAAGGCGTCAGCGAAGGCAGGTGTAGTGGGCGTAGGAACTCCTCAATTTCAGGACGTGAGGGTTGGTGAGACCCTTCCTCGTCCTGGAGATTATATAAGGATTTATAGTAGGCACTGAAGGCTTCAGCTATATCTTGGGGGTGGTATAGTTTATGGTTATCAGAGGGGCGGAGTATATAGGGAATCCTCGTGCGGGTTTGTTTGGCTTTCAAACGAGAGGCCAAAAGCTTACTAGCTTTACTGCCACTAACATAGAAGTTCGATTTGACCCTCATAGAGTGTCTACAATGTTGTTCCATAAGGAGTTTCCTGAGGTCTAACCTAAGTTGGGATAGAGTGGAGGAGCGTTTGGGGCATGGTTGTTGCTTATTTTCAGCCTCAAGTTTGCCTATGTTAGATATAAGCTGGTCTAGAGCCCTCAACCTCTGCCTCTTGACCCTAGAACTATGTTGAACAAGTATACCCCTAATATACGACTTATGGGCGTTCCAGAGCATAAAGGGGTCTTCTACTGAGGATGCGTTGAGATCAAAAAACTCCAACAAACTATCATTTATCATCTTCACTGAATCTACCTGTTGTAGGAGAAAAACATTATTGCGCCAGACAAAAGAATTAGCGCTAGGATGCCCTGATGAGACCTCCCTTGAGATTGGAGCATGGTCTGACCATGTGATGTCGTGGATAAGAGTCTTTCGGATCCAGGGCAGGATTGTGCGATATACCAGGAACAGGTCTATCCTGGAATAGGAGTTGTGTGGGGGGGAAAAAAAAGTGAAGTCACGTTCACTGGCATGTTGGCACCGCCAGACATCAAACAGTCCATTACCATTGATGGCAGGTTGGAGAGACGGTAGCCGCCGTTGTGGCGAGGAGGTGGAGTCCATGTCTCTGTCTGGGACCAAGTTGAAATCAGTGCCCCCTGTTGGCCTTTCTGCGTCTTTTTAAGCAGACGGGTAAGAAATCTCGTTTAGTGGGTATTGGGTGCGTAGAGGTTCACTATGGTGAACAGTCTGGAGTTGAGGGAGCACACCAGAATGATGAAACGGCCCAATGGGTCCAGGTGTACCTCGAGCTGTTGGTAGGACACCGTATCTCTAATCGCCACCAAAACGCCCTTGGTCTTGGAAGGGGCGTTGGCAGTGAGGATGGTAGGGAAGCTCCTATGTGAGCACTGTGGTGGAGCGGAACTGCAGAAGTGGGACTCTTGGATACAGACAACATCTGCGCGGTGTTTCAGAGCTTCTGCCCACATGGAGCGTCTCTTGGCGGGGTGGTTGAGGCCCTTAGCGTTGAGAGATAGGATCTAGACTGCCATGGGTGGGATATAGATAGTGTATGTAGGTGTGCACATAGTACTCACAGAGCCTCATCTCGGTGTTCAGCCATAGTGGATAGGAGTCTCCAGATGCAGGATTCCGGACGACTTCCCGAGGGTAAGTTGTTTGCTCATGTGGTGGCGTGAGGAACCTCTTCTCATGGGGTGAAAGAAAAAAAACAGGAACTAGAAAAAAGCGAACAAAGAGAATGTCAAAGTGGAACAAGTCAAGTAAAAAACAATTCCCCGATGGATCAAGGA